CTGGGGAGGCTGGGGGCAGAGCTAGGCCTGCCTGTCTCAGTCCTGCCACTCCACCTGCCTGGTTGTAAATGAACATTGTGTCTGGGGGCCAAGACCAGGACACACTGTACCTCCTTCCCGTAGCTCAGCCCTCCCACTGCTCGGGTAGAATGCGCCTCAGACCAGACCTTTTACTTCCCCGTGCCAAGTTTGTGATGAAGGTGCTGGATTGTAGATTATCTGTCTTGTGCTAAATACAGCCCAACTCTGACCCTGACATGAGAGTCCTGAGATTTTGGACTTCCCCAGGGTGAGGAAGATCTCTGGAAGTGAGTGAGTTGGGAACAGGGGGAAGCCATTAATATAAAGAGCAGAGTCTAACATTTTACGGGGTGCATGGCAAGTCTTTAAGTTGATATGGGGGTTTTACCGGGGGACCAGACTTCACAAAGAGGGTCGGACATTGGAGATGAAAAGAGTGTAGAGGAGAGAGGGGAGCTCTGTTTCTGGCCCTTTGGTACTAGCTTCACCTGACTCAGTTTTCCTGATATCTGTACCTCTGACACAAGGGAGCAAAGAGGGTCTGGTCCCACTCGGAGCTAATGACCTTGAGCTGCCTGCTGGTTGCCATGCTGCCCCTTCCTCTGCCTCCTGCCTGATGACTTCATTACATTTTCCATAGCTAAGCTGGAATTGGAGGAAAGCTCCGTGGTCTTTGGGACCCAGAGTAAATCCACATACTTTTTCTCCTTTTTCCCCACTTTGTCTTCTCATACAGCATTCACTTCTATTTCCCATGAACAATGCTCCTTCAAGAGTGCAGTGGATTCCTCCTAGAACCCACTCAGAGTAGGAAGTTTGGCCCTTTGACTCCTTCTCCACAGGTTCTTTCTCCACTGATGCAGGCGACACTTCCTGCAGGGGTCTCAGTCTGTGGGGAGAAAGCGTGAGGGGAGCAGTGGGGACAGAGCAGGGGTATGCCTGTCTTTCCTTTAAAGCAGGGGCGCTTCTTTGTGGTTTGGAAAGACTACTGGGCTGGGAGTTAAATCTGGGTCCTGCTTCCAAGCCTGGGGCTCACAAACTGTATGACCTGTTTCCGGTCACTGGCCTCTTTGCATCGTACTCCTGCCATCTATGCCAGACAGGGGCTGTATCTCTAGGTGTTCTTTACCAACCCAGAAAAGTAGATGAATACAAAGAAAGAGTGAGAAGATCAGAAATTCACTTTCTGGCCTCATTTTCTCCTGCTCTGTCAGACCACTGACCAGACCTGTCCCCCTCTGCATGGCCGAGACAGAGACAAAGGTCTGAGCTCCACCTCCTTCCCTGTCTGTGCTTACCTCTACTTCTTCAGGTGCCCAGATGCTCTTCTCACATCCACTAAAGTTTCGTCTCTCAGCCCCTCTTCTTTTCTTCCACTGAAACATAACTATTTGCTCATTGGCCTGCAGAAATGATAGCTATTAAAGGTTCATCTCCTAAGAGAGAGAAGCATGTAGCACTGAATCCTGGCTTTGTCCCTCAGGCACTGCCCTCTGTTGTGTGTAACCAACCGTCTCCTCTGTTTTCTCTCTGCCTGTGCCCTCTCACCCTCCCCAACCCTTTCCCAGGTTCGATCCATTAGCACCAACGTCCGGAGAAACCTGGCCTTCCACACACTCAGCCAGGAAGTCCTGCTCAAGGAGTTCTCCACTATCTCCTGAGGCCACGCATATCTGAGCAGCTGCTGACTGCCCTTACCCATGAGGCTCCTGGGCTGGAGGGGGACTGGGGAAAGGGGCAGTCCCCAAGGTTGGAGAATAACACAGATACTGAGTTCTCTCGGTGAAGGCCGTGCTTCAGTGGATTTTGGATAGCAGGGGCCGGGGGGCAAACCTGGGATAATCTTATTTGGGGAGGGTTTGGGTGGGCACAGGGAGAAGCCTTCAGGAATATGGGGACTTCCAGCGTGGGCTCCCTGGATACCCCCTCACATTTCCAATTGAGATTACAAATTGTGGCTGCTGACTAATTTTCAGGGGCTGCTGGGGCAAGTCTTAGGATGATGCCAGTATCCCGAGGGTCAGTGGTTCTCCGAGGCTTCTGAAAACAGACTCTCAGATGTAGATGGAGCCAGTTCTGCTTTCTTTGGGCCTGGGGCTGAGCTGGGATTGAAATCTGTGTCCCCTGCCCCTGCAGGCACTCTGTCCAATCGTCAGGACCCTTAGCTCAGCTCAAGGTAGTGTAGGAATGGAGGACCTTTTTTCTACTCTCTAAATCTGGGAGACTGGAGATTAGAATCTGCCCAGTGCCCTGCTGTCCGGCCACCAATTTCTGGATTTGATTCTTGGCACCAGGAGTACCTATTACCTCCCCTGCCTTCCAACCCATTGATTGGTCAGCACTGTAGGGTCACAACCTTAGCTTTTAATTTTCAGTCTGGTTTAAACTGTCTTTAGGGTGTGTGTGTGAAATAAACATTGACAGGTTTTCTGGAGCCCTCAGGTGCCTACTTTGCTGGTTCCCTTTCCAGCAGCCTCCCCACCTTCCCAATCACCTTCTCCTCTGGGAGCCTCTCCTGCCTCTGCTGAGCTCCCCTGTACTGTTCCGCCCCCTCAGCCCCCTCACCCGGCTGTTGTTTACATCCAGCCTGCCTAAGAATTTCCTCTGGGGAGGAATCTGTTCCTGCTGTGGTCTGGTGCCTGGAAGGGAGAGAACCTGCTGGCGGCAGGGAACCCTCCATCTGAAAGGGGCCAGGTGAGCATCATGGCGAGGCCATTCTGTCTGCCCATATTCTGGGTGGAGCCACAGGCAAGTCTCCTGGCCTTTGGGAAGTTGGCCCATGGTTCCTCCTCTGGACAGCCTCCACTGGACTACTGTAGGCTTTCCCTACCCTGCGGCTGCTTCCTAAGTAGCTGCTGCTCTGAGATCTCCCCCCTTCTAAAGCACTTTCTAAAGCCCTCGGGCTGACAGGGAACAAGCAGCACAGGAAGACACTGGGAATAAGTGCAGGAACCAGCAGTGAGAGCAGGTCTGGGACCTCCCTGGCTGCTATTCCACTTAGCTTCAAATCTCTTTAGGATATTTGCCTTCCAGAGCTGTGGCTCCGGCACTGAGCAGATACGCGCTAGTTCCAGAGAATACACCAGCATGCTGCCATGTGTAGACGCAGATTCCTGAGCAATCGGGCTGGGTCATTGAACACTAGATAGGGTAGCTCTGCCTGGGGCATATAGTGTTCTCCACAGTGATAAACTCCAGAGGAGCTGGAGCTGGAAGCCGATGGCAAGTTGAAGTTATTAAAATTGATTTGTATGGGATGGTCTTTTAAGCGTCTTTTGTTTGTTTCTTTCATCTCTGTTACTCAGACCTCATTTCTCGATGACAGCATTAAGGTCATCTCCCAGGTGTTGGTCCAGTCTTCCTAGGGGACCCCTGCCTATGCTCACTCTCTTCCTAAGTCTCCTGGCCCTAGTGGAAGCCAGTTATGTTCAGAGAGGTATGGCCTTCCTTGCCTTTCCTGCTTATGGATTCCTTTCCTATGAAATGAACAAGGGTATGAAGCAGTAGCGAAGGACTCCTTGCCCTCCATTGTAAAAGCCCGTCTCTTGGTCCATTGACATACATCCGTTCTAAGAACTCCAAACAGGAGTCCTATCATTATCTAGAATTCAACCCCTAAAGGGACTGCCCATGCTCTGTCTATGCCCCAGCATCTATGCCAGGTCTGTGGAGAACCCTCCAGAGCCAGAGGAGAGCCAGGAGCAGGGTATTGCTCCCAGAGACAGCCCTTCTTTTAGCTGCTTGTCCCCCTCTCATGCCTGAACTCCTACCACAATTCCTGCTGAGTTAATTGAATCAAGTGCTTAGAAATTAAATCCAATTGAAGACATTAAATGTGCTGGGGTCACTTTAGCTGAAGCTTTCAATCTCAGCAGGTCACTCTTCCAGAGAAGCCACTGGGCAGGTGAGAGGATCACATGGGACACTGCCACCACACCATCCAGACCCACCAGACACTGCCGCCGCCCCTTCTGGTGGGCTGGGGGCTCTTGTGCTCGCAGCCCAGTGAAGATCCTGGGGAAGGTCAGACAAGTAGGCTCAGTCACTCAGTAGCCATTCCTGGGAGAGCTAGAGGCAGCCCAGCTCAATGATAGCCCCTGGCTTCAGAAAAGGAGCTAAGCCAAGGGAAGGGGACTCATACCAAGAGCATTTCTTTCCCACTCTGTATCCTCACCTGGATCCCCCACATCAATCACTCCCCAAATCTGGAAAACAAGGAATCTAGGACAGGGCAGGTGACAAGAGAGAAGGTCAGGAAAGTTGAAAGGGAAGAAGGAGCAAAAGAACAAGAACGTCTTGAGAAACACCTGGTTCACTCTTTTCCATTTCTTCCTGGTGGGCCAATGGGGGTCATTAGATCAGGGAAGAAGGTACCCTCAGAATGAAAGTAGCCCAGAGACGGGGGTCTTGCAGTGGCTGAGGGTTGGGGGTCCGAGAGAAGAGAAAACTGTAGTCCACTCGCCTGAGATGAACCTGTTGGAGGCTGGGCTCATCTTTGCACTGCATCCCTGACCCCCTCCTAGCAGGGTGGGCACTGGTGGAGACCCAGACATGGGAGGAGAACAATAGAGAAGATGGGGCTGACATGGAGAATGACCTGGACAGGACACTTAACAGACTTACCCTGGTCGGTGCTGATGGTGGAAGGAGTGCCTAAGAGTTGGGGCGGGGTCGGGGGAGGGGGAGGTGTCACGGTTTCCTCAGTGTCCTTTCTGGCCCTGCTCCCTCCTCCACCGCCAGGACCCATAGCTTCAGGTTTATGGGGTAGAGACTGCTGGAGAACCAGTCTCTCTCCCCGCACTTCCCAGCTCACCCTTTCACCGGGTTCCTCCCCCGAGCGGCAAAGAGGAGGGGGCGGGGGTAGGGGGAGCCAATCCCGGCAGCGCCAAAGGGGGGAGGCGGCGGTGACAGCCGCGGGGAGGGGGCGGGAGGAGAGAGGCGGCTTGGCTCTGGCTTGGTGCTTAGCTCCGCTCTGCCTCCGGCTCTGCGCTCACCTACTGCCCAAGCCTCCTGCTCCTGCCCCAGGACCCACAGCGGGACCCCAGTCCATCCCAGACAGCCCCAGCCCAGACAGCGTGCAACGCCGCCAGGGGGCGCCGTGTGAGCGCCCTATTTTGGCCACCCGGCGCCCCCTCCCACGGCCCAGGCGGGACGGGACGGGGGCGCCGGGGGCCATGCGGGGCCAGGGCCGCAAGGAGAGTTTGTCCGATTCCCGAGATCTGGACGGATCCTATGACCAGCTTACAGGTGAGTCAGGGGCTCAGGGGTCGCGGGAGGGTGCGTAGATTCCATCCCCCAGACCCTTAAGCCTATCTGACCCTGACCAGGCCCTTATTCACACTCTGCCCTATTCCCAGGCACCCTCCAGGCTGTTCGGGGCAGCAGAACAGTGGGCTTTAAAGCCTTAGGTCCCGTGGGGGGTGGGGGAGACAGGCGGGCAGGTGGGAAGAGGCAGCAGGTGTGGGCGTGTGTGACACAAAGCTAGGAGAGTGTCTGGAGTGGGAGGTGTTACGTGCGTGAGCGCCTGTCATTCTCTGTGTGTGTCTGTGTGTGTATATGTGTGTGCGCCTCCCTCAGCTGGTCTCCATGTGCCCTAGGCTTGATGACAGGGTGAGTGTTTTTGTTGGCTGTGCAATTGTATGATCTTGTCGGATGTTCGAGTGAGGTTGTGTAGGACTCTTGTATTAATGAAGTTGTTTTGACCATGTGTCTCTGTTCTATGTGCAGCTTTATGCTTTGAGTGTGTGACTCTGTATGAAGTGACATGTGACTATCAGACTGTGTCAGGGCTTCACTTTATTGGGGGGGTATATCTCTTTGTAAGACTTCATTGACTGTGACCCTCCTGGGGCAAGCATTTGTTAAAGTAGGTTGTATTGTGGTTTGTCTGGGTTTGTAATTGTGAGACTACGCAGATTATATTGGCATTTCGTGCTGATTGTGTACTTTCATGTGGCAGTGGGGTTCTCTGAGTGTTTATGACGTGTCTTACCCTTGCTGCCTCTCTGGTTTCCTGGCGTAGAAGGGGGCCTTTACCGCATACCACTGCTTCCTTGCATTTTCCACAAACAGCCCAGATGGACCCAAGGAGGGACTCTAGAGTCTGCCCAGCCTGGCTCCCAAGAACAGCACCTGGCCCTTCTGGGGAGGCTTTGTTTAGTGTTGGGTCATCACTCCCACCGCCCCCCACCCAGGAAAGTACTCAGAGATCATTCTTTCAACTGAAGCTCCTTTAACCACCTTCAACCACCCTCTAAGAACTTCATCCAATCCTGAAGGAAAACATCCCATCTAGCTTCCCCTCCAGACCCAGAGGTAGAAGCTCTTGGCCTGAAAGGTTCGTGTGACCTCCCCAGACTACTTTGCTGCCCAGGCATGCTCTGTCTCCAGCTGTATGGAGTACGCCTGGGCCCTCACATATTCCTGGGTTTGGTAGGCAGACCCACGTGTTTGTGTGGGTGACTGTGTCACCTTGTATACATTTCCATATGTGTGTGCTTTCTGTCTCATTGTGCAACCTGCCCAGGAACTCCAACAATGAATGGGAGGAGGGAGACTGTCTCCTGTATCTGAAACAAGTTGGGGAGGTGGGGGGAGCCCATGATCCTTGTCTGTCCTTAGGGGAGTGAGATTAAGTCTCCAGGATGGGAAACAGGACTAGGATCTAATGCCTTGGGAAAATGTCTCACCTTCTCATTGACCCTGGGGAAGTCCTAGTTCCTATGCTGAGACTCCCAGAAAGGAGAGCCCTTTGGCCCAGGCAGGCCCCAGATATGCACCCCAGATGTGGTTCAGACTGGGATGGAATCCAAAGGTCCAGTTCTGCTTTGACCTCTGTTCTCACCAACTCAGGATCCTTGAGAGTTTAAGGCCCCAGGGCGCTCATTAGCACCACATTAGTCAGTGTTTGCTTCCTGCTTTGATTGATTCTCCCCTTTAGTGGAATCATTCCCTCCCCACTTGCCTATTTGAAATAGAGACTAGGCGAAAGTGGGAAGCACTTGTATTGGAAGGTGCAGGAATGAGGCTTCTATTACTTTTGCTCTCTGGGTCTCACTTTTCTCATCTCTGTAATAGAGAATACTACATACATCTTGCTTGTCTGCCTCCCAAGGGAAATAGGTCAAATGTTGACTAGTGTCAAGAATGGGTGTTCATCACCAGCATCCTCACTGTACATAGCTCCACACATGACTTGGAAAGTAGAAATAGCACTACCAGGAGCTCTCCTTTCAAAGGAAGGCTTATCTTACAGCAACAGACAATTGAGGTTGGGACTCCCCCTGATAAGGTGATATAAAGTGCTGGGTGCCCTGAGATGCCTGAGCTGAAGCCTGAAGGGGAATCATTGTCCGAGGTGCTGAAGAGCACTCTGGATGGATGTACTGCCTTGCCTTCCTAGTTCCCAAAGTTCCTTCCCTGGGCAGGCAGGATTTCTGAGATGGGTATGGGGGTGGTCTTTGGCTTCGTCTGGTCTATTAGGTCGACAGAGAGGGAGTTCTTGTCATCAAGGCATTCTGGGTATACCCCTGATCATTTTACTCCTCCACTTCTCCATACACAAAGCTGGAAGAGATGGTGGGGGGGTGCTGCGGAGAATCTGAGCCCCACTCCGCCCCAGATCTACCCCCCTCTAGTCTTCCAAGCCTGGGAGGGCTACTTGGAAGCACGGCGTGGTGGGAAAAAGCAGCAATCAGTGGCAGTCCTGTTCAACCCAGAAGCAAAGAAAGGACTGGGGACGATGAGGAGAGAGTTGGGATCTGGCTGGCCAAGGCCTAAACTCGGGTCCCTGTTCCTAAATATCGTTTCCCCAGTCTGGGGCGCCCCCGTGTGGTCATAGAGCTTACGGAGCTGATTCCAAATGGGAATGTCGCCTCCAAATCGAGTGCAAAATTTGCATGGAGTTTAGAGGTGACTCTCGCCTAAATCCTAAATGTAGGATTTTTAGCCAAGAATACAGGATCCCAGTCGGAGGAGTGGAACTATGTCTCTCCTGTAGGCTGTCCCGGCAGTCTGAAGCCATCAGTGGGTCCTGAAAGGGTTTACTTTGGGTACAGCCCGGTAGAGAGGAATCCTGGAAAGGATCGGGGCTGGGAATGAGGGGAGGAGAGCTTGTTCCTCATGCATTTGGCTGGCGGCATACGATGGGAGAATGTGAAGCCACTGGAGCAAGACAGAGGGACACAAAACACAAAGTTATGAGGGAACGGGATTGGGAGCCACCTCTTTTTTACCACCCCACTACGATGTCCAGCTCCTCCTCCTTCCTCTTGCTCTCTCTCTCCCATAGGTTTAGGAAGTATGGAAGTGTGGGAAGTTGCCATGACAACGGTGTCCTTTTACCCCGTGCCAAATTGGGAGGAGGAGGTGTGCGACAGGCAGAGAAGGAAGGGCTGAAGAGGGGCAATAAAGAATAAGGTTCATTATCCCCTCGTCCAGCTCCTTTTTCACAACCCGTGGGTACCTCCCCTCCCCTCCCCACCAGAAATCCAGAAAACATTCCCAAAGAAGGCTGTGAGAGAGTCGGTCCCCCCCTCCCCCACCCCTGCCCCGCCCAGTCCAGGAACTTTAAGGATGGGTGCTTCAGATGACGGGGCCAGGGTGCGTTTTCCCCCTTGCAGCCCGGAGGAGACAGCGAGCGGAAGAAAACTCTGCTGTGCGAGATTCCTGTTCTGCAGGTCCGGCCCTCCCGCGCCGCCCACGCAGGGCCCACTCGAGTGGGGGCGGAGACCCGACCGCCCCCGGCCTTGGGGGCGGAGCTCGGCCAGTGCGCTCTCAGCAGAACCATGAACCGATGCCCCCGCAGGTGCCGGAGCCCGTTGGGGCAGGCGGCGAGATCCCTCTACCAGCTGGTGACTGGTTCGCTGTCGCCAGGTATGAGGAAGGGAGGAAGGGGCTGGACCCTTCAAAAAGTGAGTGAAGTGGGATAAGAACCTTACGGAGTGGGGAGGGGAAGGGCCCCTCAGAGATGGAGGGAGCGGGATCCCTCAAAAGAAAGGGTTTAAAGGGCAAGCTCCCTGACAGAGTGGAGCTAGAAATAGGGTTTCTTACAGAGAAGGTGGAGGATAGAGGTCTTCAAAGAGGAAAGGATCGGGGGCATTATGGTCCCTCAAGTGGTGGAGGATGAGGCAGGGCTTTTCACTGAGGATAGAGGAGGGCACCTTAAGTAGGTGGATGCAAGGGGCAAGACTCCTCGAAGGGATTAAAGGAGGAAGCTTGCAGGAGAACAGGGAAGAGGCACAACCCTTTCCTAAATTGCTTAGTTTAATGGGATCTTAAGATGATGGGGGTCAGTGTCCAGAAGGAAAAAATCCTGAGGTGGGACAGGACCAACATGAACTCAGCTAGTGAGTTCATGAATGATGGGATGAATAGACTAGTGTGGTATAAGGATTGTATATCACCACTTTATCTATCTCCGGGAGTCTGTATGAACAAGGCTATGCATCACTCAGCTTGTGATCACTAGGTCTGTGCATCCTTGGGGTTGTATATCTTTGGGACTCTGTGACATTGAAACTGCGTGTACCTGAGGTTCTGTGCTTTAGGGTTGGGTTAAGGGTTCCTGAGTCACACTAAGTGAGTTCTGTAGTCTTCCCAAGATTGTACCTTGGTCTGGGATGTGTGGAATTTATGATATGTGGATTGTGAATATCATATCACGGTACTGCTGAGATTTACACACACCTCCCCTTGGGTTTCCTTAGGGCTGCCTGGGCAAGGCCCACAGAACCTAGCATCACCTCCCCACCTGGCCTGGAGAGACCAAAACAACCTAGCCCCATGGCAGTCTGGGATCTGTAGTTCTCTGGCTCTCTCCATGGTATCCTCTTGAACACCTGGAGGCCTCTCCTTGCCATGTGTTCCCCAAAAGGAAGGGTGATAGGGCTGAGACAGAGCTATGCTCGGCAGTCTCTTGGGGAACATGTGTCCCTCAAGCCCCCCGCTTGGACCTGTCTCCAGTGACAGATGGCTGGAGCCCGGCAGGGCCAGCTCTCAATCATAGCAGGAATGACTTCCAGTCCCCAAAATAGCCCCAAAGCCTAGGGAGTTCATTAATCACCTAATGCAGCTGGGGGCTGCTGTGTCTCCTGGCCTGGCTGGGGATGGAGTGGGGCTGGGGAACTGAGAGAAGAGCTCTGGGGTCGTCACTGGCTGGGGTCTTCACTGTGGGGTCAAGGACAGATGAAAATGGTACAGCTACATAGGGTGGGTTCCCTCTTAAGGCAGTATTCTGGGTTTGAACT